ATTTATATATCTATGTACTTAAAATCATATAAAAATTTCCTGAGTGAAAAGGTGAAAAAATAAGCCCTGCCCTAAGATGAATTTTAATATTATCTGAATATCATATTCTCTTGTAAAACTTTACACAGTAGGTTTTACATTTATTGTTGATTCTTGTCTGAATCCTCTATTAAACCGTGATTTTAAATCTAGGACACAGGGAAATGTAAAAAAAAAAAAAATCAAATCAATGCCTATAACGCCAGTGGTGTTGTGGGGTTTAGCCAAAGAACCAAGAAAATGAGACTTTGAGTTCACAAGAAAACAGCTTGGATCCGAGCAGAATTATCCCTAAAAGAAGCCTGGGCCCCAAGCTGGAGTCTTACATATCTTATAGTAAAAGATAGCAAGCATCAGCAGTTGGCTCCTCAATAGTATGTGACTGGTTTATTCTATCTCTGGGAAATGTCTGAAAGGGGAAATTTTTTTTAGAAAGGAAAACAGACAAAAAGGTTTACAGGAATGTTTACAGTGTGGTCAACTTGACCTCAGACTATATTTACATCTGGTGCCATCTGCTGGTATACAGTAGGTAGTTTTTCTTATTTTTGTAATTTTTACTTTATTATCTTGGGTGATTCAAGGGATGGTAAGGGGAGCAGAGATTTCACTTCTCTGGAGTACTTAGGATAGGCAGAAGTTGCTAAACTACATAGCTTACCATTTGAATTCTGGGGCTTGGGGCTGGAGGGATGGCTCAGCAGTTAAGAGCACTGGCTGCTCTAGTAGAGGAGCAGGGTTCAGTTCCTAATACCCATGTGGTGGCTAACAGCTGTCCATCACTCTAGTTCCAGGGGATCTGACTACCCTCTTCTGGCCTCTTCGGGCATTGCATGACACGGGTACACTTACATACATGCAAGCAATATGCTCATTACACATAAAAATAATAAAATATTTTAAATATGGGGGGAGCTTACGTACCAGGGAGACCAGATGCCTCTGTCCTCTGTGGGCACCTTCAGTAATGTGCATACACCAACATACACGTACACGTAATTGAAAATAATAAAAATATTTTTCTTCCTTATTCACAGGAGTGATTGATCCTCTAGACCTGTGACTGCTTTCTTGAAGAAAGTCATTAAACTTGAGTTCAGATGAGCTAGTTCGAGACAGCTACAAGACCTAAGTTCCTCTCGTCCTCTGTACCTAAGGTTCAGTTTTATTAGATACCAGTGACAACCATTAGCACATCAGGCCGGTGACACCCACAGCTGGTATTTCAGCAAGAACTTGGAGGAATACCACTTCTCAGAGTGTTACGCTCTCAAGACAGAAGGCCCTACCCAGGGAATCCCACCTTGTCCAGCCCCTTTGCTCACAGCCCAGTGCAGTTCAACACAACCATGGCAGACCTTCGAGAGGAGTGTGGCTGTCCCATCTGTCTGGATTTCTTCAAAGACCCAGTGACCACTAACTGTGGGCACAACTTCTGTTTCTCCTGCCTCAGTGTGTCCTGGAAGGATGTCAACAGCAGCTTTCCTTGTCCTGTGTGTCGAGTTTGCTTTCCACAGAGGAGCTTTAGGAGGAATGCCCTGCTGCAGAACTTGACTGAAATGGTTAAGTGCCTGCAGAACAGACGGAGCAAGAGAAAGAGGCAGGAGGAACATGCCGTGTGTCAGAAGCACAACCAAGCTCTGACCCTTTTCTGTGTGAAGGACCTAGAGGTATTGTGTACCCAGTGCAGTTTCTCTGTCGAACACCAGAAGCATTACATCTGCCCCATTAAGAGAGCTGCCTCTTATTACAGGGAAATTCTAGAAGGCAGCATTGAGTCCTTGAAGAGTAATGTGGAACGAGTTGAGAAAGTATTAAGTCTGCAGGGCCGCCGATCTCTGGAGCTGAAGCAGAAGGTGGGCCGGAGGAGAGATGAAATACATTCGGAATTTGAACAAGTCAGACTGTTTTTACAGAATGAGCGGGAGGAGATGCTTAAGGAAATACAAATTGAAGAGTTGGATGTTTTATCACAACTGCATGGAAACCTTGGGACCCTTACAGACCATGTCTCCACGTTAGAACATCTCCTGGAGGAAGCAGAGAACAAGGACGTGGGCTCAGATGTTACATTCCTGACAGGTGTTAAGAATGTCTACCAAAGGTTTCAAAACCTAAAATGCCCTGAACCCTTATCATTCAGTTTACAGCAATATGGCTTCTACCTCCCGCCACAGTATTCTGGCTTAGACATAATTATCAAGTCATTTCAAGTAGATGTGACTTTTGATCTTGACACAGCACACCCTCAGCTGTTGGTTTCTAAGGATAGAAGAACAGTGATGTATAAAGAAGCAAGACAGAGTGTCAGTGAGAACCCCAGGAGATTTGCTCTCTGCCCTGCTGTTCTGGGTTCTGAAAGATTTCATTCAGGTCGACATTACTGGGTGGTAAAGGTAGAAAACAAGTCCAAGTGGACAGTGGGTGTGTGTCAAGACTGCCTTCCTAGGAACTGGGGGAATCAGCCCTTACTAGTTGCGGGCTTATGGGCAATCGGGACATATACTAATTATAATTATGTCACCTATGGTCCTAAGAAAACCCGACTTCTGCCAGTGGTACATCCCAGTAAGATCGGCATTTTTTTGGATTATGAAGTAGGTGAGGTCTCCTTTTTCAATATGGATGACAGGTCTCTTCTGTATACGTTCAGGGATTCCTTTACCAGACCTGTTTGCCCTTATTTCTTTGTTGGAACAGATCCCATACCTCTTAAAATCTTACCCAAGCAGGATCAGGAAAGATAACAAATTATTCTGTTTCTGTTCTAGGACTAATTTAGCCAGTACAATTAATCTCATAATTTTTGGGAATCTTTCAGTGTTTTATCACTGAAAACCAGAATGTATTTTTCTCCACCATTTTCAGTAACCATAAAAAACTGGATGGTTGGGCTGGGCTGAAGAGTTGCATGCAGCGCCAGCACTCAGGAGGCAGAGACAGGCTGATGTCTGTGACTTTCAGGCCAGCCTAGTCTACATAGCAAGTTCCAGGCCAATCAGGGTTACACAGTGAGACCCTGTCTCAAGAAAAACAGAACAAGACAAAACCTGATGGTCATCCCCAGTGTGATACACACGTGCTAATCCTAGTACCAGGGAGACTTATGCAGGAGGATTACAAGTTCCAGGCCAGCCTGAAGCCTGGTCTCTTACAGGATTATCAGCTTTCCCTGAACTATGAAATGAGTTTTCAAGTGTTTTTCATCTCAGTTCCTTTTACAGATTCAGACCGTCTGAAGTAGATAACGCGATCCTCTCACTTTTTCTTTTGATTTTTGTGTGTATATGATGTGTGTGTGTTCTTGCGTGTGAGTGTGGGTATGAGTGCCATGGTTCACATGTGGATGTCGGAGGCTTCAGGTGTGGGGCCTCACCTTGTTTTCCACTGTGTGTGCCTCCTTAACTGACCTATGGCCTTCTGGGTATTGCCCTATTCCTAACGCCCATCTCTCTATAGAAATACTGGGTTTGCCTGGCATGGTGGTGCATGCCTTTAATCCCAGAACTCCAGAGGCAGAGGCAGGCAGATCTCTGAGTTCAAGGCCAGTCTGGTCTACATAGCAATTCTGGGAGTCAGGTGGGGCTCCAGGGAGACCCTGTCCAAAAAAGACCAAAAAACAGAACAAAACCAGTGGGTTTACAGAAGATGACTTTGAACTCCTGATCGTCCTGTCTTCACCTTTCAAATGCTGGGAATACAGGTATGTGTACACCACTGTCTCTTATTAGGTTTAAAAAAATTTTTTTAGAAAACTTTTTAAAATTTATTTTTATTTTATGTGTATGAGTGTTATGCCTGCATGTATGTAAGTGCACCCATGTTGGGCAATGCCCACAGAGGAGAGAAGACTGGGTGTTTGATCCGTGGAACTGGAGTTACAGTTAGCTGCCATGTGGGTGCTAGGATTGGAACCAGGGTCTTCTGTAAGAACAGCCAGTGCTCTTAACCGCCAAGCCCCATCTCCAGCCCCTGAAAACGTTTTAACGTTTATTCATTTATTGTGGGAGGGTTAGGGAGTACCACAATGTGTGCGTGTGTGCATGTGTGTGTGTAAGTCAGAAGACAACTTGGGTAAGTCAGTTCGTGCCACCAAGTGAGTTCTGGATATCGACCTCAGATTGCCTGGTGGTAGGTGCCTCTAACGTGAGCCATTTTGCCAGTTGTTTATCTTTTGAGGTGCTGGACCTTGAACCCAGTGCTTTGTGCAAGCCCAGCAGTTTCTACCACCAAGGCTCCCCTGGCTCATTGCCAAGTGTTTTGACTTCTTAGGTAAAATACTTGAGAACATATGATTTAACTTATCTAGTTTTGTTTTGGTGGGGGGTAGTGGCACATGCCTTTAATCCCAGCGCTCAAGAGGCAGAGGCAGGCAGATCTCTGTAGGTTCCAGGGCAGCTGGGGCTACAGGGAGACCCTATCTCAAAAAGACCAATAAAGTAAAATAAAATTGCCTATAAAATTTTTAAATGAATTTAGAGTCTGGAGAAATGGCTCAATGGTTAAGAGCACTGACTGCTCAAGGCTTGCTTCTGCAGAGTACTGGGATTAAAAGCATGCACCACCACACCTGGTTGAAGATTTTTTATAATTTATAATGTTAAGATCTCTCAGGCTCTGGGGCTGGAGAAATGGCTCAGCAGATAGGAGTACTGACTACTTTTGCCAAGGACATAGGTTTGGTTCCTAGTACCCACATGGTGGCGTATAACTGTCCATAACTCCAGTTCTAGGGGATCCCACACCCTTTTCTTCTGGCTTTTTTGGGTATTGCATGCAATGGCGCTCTTTATACACATGCAGGCAAACACTTTTACACATAAAAATAAAAGTAGCTGGGCGTGGTGGTGGCACAGGTCTTTAATCTCAGCACTTTGGGGAGGTAGAGGCAGGTGGCTCTCTGAATTCAAGGCCAGCCTGGTTTATATACTGAGTTCCAGGCCAACCTGGGCTACTTGAGACCCTGTCTCCTAAAAACAAAACAAAGGAAAAAAAAAAAAAGCCTTTTAAGCATTAGGATAAATATCTTGATCCTGCAATTTGAGGTAGGGGTGGCAGAAAGTGATAGTAATTCCTACTCTTTGGATTTGGTGATGGTCTCAATGTTGTGTCTTATGTGATAATTAAGCTGTATTCCAATGAATTCTGCATTTTTCTGTATTTATGTAAGACTTTGATGGGGGAAAGTTTATTAAAAAGAGTAACACTCAACAGATTCTTGTTTTCCTTCTGTATTTGCTTTGTAGGTGAAGTCAAGAAATGTACTTTTTTCACCGGACATGGTGCCAACTTATAACCTAGCACTCAGCTAAGGCACAAGACTTGTTGCAAGTGCCAGGATAGCCTGGCTCTCTAAAGAGCGGTCCCCTTGAGGACCTCATACCCACACTGGGGCACATCTTATATTATGAAACTCTTTGAAGAGATCATATCCATGCTCTCCGGTGTGTCTGACTTTCTTCTGAGTGCCTCCCTTTTAACCTTTCTGCTTAAGCCTGTATTAAATTGCCTTTATTAAACCCCAACTTTGATTCATTATAAAAACATATATATACAGTTTTGAGACAGGTTCTTATTATATAACCCTAACTGGCCTAGTTATTTATTGGACCAAATCATAGTTTCTGTGAACTTGGCCTGGCACACATCACAGTCACAGGCATGTGAAATAGTTTCAGAATTCATTCTCATAATGACACTATGCAGACCTGAAACGCCAGGTAAAACGACTTACCTACTTTAGGAATAACTGGTTAGAATGGTGAGGTATGGCTTTGGAGAAAGAGACAGGAGTATGGGGAGTTCAGGGTCCCACTACATAATTAGAGGCCAGCCCGAGATACATGAGACCATGTCAAAAAACTCATTTCTGCTTGTAGGTAGGTCTACCTGTGTGCAGAGCCATCAGATACCCTAGAACTGGAGTTACAGAGGGTTGTTAGCCACCATGTGGGTGCTGGGAATTGAACCCTGGTCCTTTGGAAGAGCAGCCAGTGCGCTCCCCTGACCATCTCTCCAGGCCTTCTCTGTCTTTCTGAATGTTTTAGGTCTATACTGACAATCACCCTGTGTGATCTGTTCTACCTTTATCTCACTTTATAGTGGAAGAAGTGGGGGGTACAGGGGTAACATGCTGGGATTCATGCCCCAAAGCTTACAGCTAAAAACTGATACAGCCAAGATTTACTGTGTATTTATCTTGAACTTCTCAGAGGCTGGAGAGATGACTCATCCACTAAGAGCACTGGCTATTCTTGTAGAAGACTCAGTTTCAGTTCCAACAAACATGGCAGCTAACAACCATCTGTAACTCTACTTCCAGGGGATTCTCTACCTTCTTCTTGCTTCCATGGGCCTTGCACCCAAATGGTACACTTGCATACATGCAAGCAAAGCACTCAAACATACAAAACATACTTTAAAGAAAGAATGGGTGTTAGCAAACAGGTAGGGGCTAGGAATTGAAGAACTTGGTTCCTCTGCAAAAGCAGAAAGTGCTCTTACCCACTGAACCATCTCTGCAGCCTCTAGTCTTTATTTTATTTTATTTTATTTTTTTGGTCTTTTTGAGACAGGGTCTCCCTGTAGCTCCACCTGGCCTGGAACTCTCTATGTAGACCAGGCTGGCCTCGAACTCAGAGATCGGCCTGCCTCTGCCTCCCAAGAACTGGGATAAAAGGTGTGTGCCACCATGCCCGGCTTAAAATGAATTTTTCAAGGATTCCTGCAGCAGCTGCAGGAACCATGCATGAGTTAAACGGCAACTGCTCCCAGGATGCCAAGGACAGCTTCACCCTGGCAGAGATGCTGGGTGGCAGCATCCTCATCTCCACAGATGGCAAGACTTTCTGAGCTGCTTCCAGGTCCTGCCTGAAGCGTTTAGCAGCCCAGACCTGCAGTTGAGGGTAGCAGGTTGCCTACTTCCTGCCAGACTAGAGGGGCTGGGGGATCCCAGTCACCCCAGCTGCTAAGTAGTTCCTCACTCCTTGGACCTTCCTCCCTCATTCCCTGATGTTTCTGGCCTCTGAAACTGCTGACCTTCAGTTGAAGCAGACCATGTTTCTCTCAGGCACCAGTCCTGTATTTTAAAAATATTTATTTTTTTATGTGTATGAGTGTATTGCTTGCATGTAGGTAGATGTACCCATGTCATGCAATGCCTGCAAAGGTTAGAAGACGGTGTCAGATCCCCTGGAACTGGTATTACAGCCGGTTGTTAGCCACCATGTGGGTGCTGGGACTTGACCTGGGTCCTCTGGAAGAGCACTCAGTGCTCTTAGCCACTGAACCATCTCTGCAGCCCCAAGTCCTGTATTTTTTTTAAAGACACCCCATCCTCATCTGTCCCTCCCTATCCCATGCATCCAACTCCTAACTGCAATGGTGACTCTGCTAGTCGGTTTTGTTTGTGTGTAAATGGAATGTTGTGGAAATTACACCCTCCTTGTGCTGGCTGGTTCCCCTTAGAAGCAGGACCAGTAAGAGACTGTCTATGAAAGAAAGAAAAAGAAAGGAAGGAAGGAAGGAAAAGGCATAATAAAAAGTCAACTAATAAGGAAAAGCCAGGCGTGGTGGTGCATGCCTTTAATCCCAGTACTCGGGAAGCAGAGGCAGGCGGATCTCTGAGTTCAAGGCCAGCCTGGTCTACATAGTGAGTTCAAGGTCAGCTGGGGCTACAGGGAGACCCTGTCTCAGAAAGACCCCCCCAAAAAGAAGAAAAAAAACAAAAAGGCAGGTGTGGTGGTAC